TATATAACGGTGGTGTCCGACAAACTTACGCGCACCTCGTCTATTTCACCAGGCACATGCTATCAGCGCAAGGACTACTCACATGTATATTTCAGCATTCTCTCTGTAGTCGCAATCTTCTTCTACTTGAGTCTATAATACTTCTTTTAGGAATTCTGTTTTTTTCTTTAATTTATTTTTTGCTTCTGTTTCTTCTTCAATCAATGACCCTCTTCTCTTCTTCTATTATGTGAGTTCTCTTACTCTTACTTCTTCTCTTTTACTTCTCTTCCACTCACTCTGCGGAGTTGCTTAAAAGACTAAATATGAAGCTAAATACTGCAGAATCATTTTTAGGGTTGATTTAAGTGAAATTGAATAATGATTTGATGTCCCCAAAAAAATGATTTGTGATTGTAATTATGTTTTTGGGGTCTTATTGAAATTACATATTAAGATGTTTAATTTGAATTTTGTTAGATTAGTACGAAATTTGTAACTTTAATTGCAAGTTAAATAAGTTCATATATGTTAGATCCTTTTTTTGTTCGGTAATTGTATACTTTATTTTTGAAGATACTAGGCTAAGGGACGGACTTCATCTCTTCTATTTTCTTCGCTTACACCTTACACTTCAGCTGAGTCTAACGAGGCTCGTACGTTTCGGTTCTTGTTTTTTTAAAGCCGAAGGTCCCTGTTAAACGCTTCTCGGTCTTTTCAAGTGTATGTTGGCCAGATTTTGTTTCGTACAGACAATTTTAAGTACTAATTTATTCTGGCAAGCAAAACTTTTCTGCTACTCTATAAATTTGAGAACTGAGTAAGCTTTTCTACAACAGCAACTGCAGTTATTCTATTCTGTACCAACGTTCAAATGGCTCTCATCTCAGCTATTGCTGTCAGTTATGCAGGTGGGTTAGCTTTCATACCCAATTTGTTATACTCGCTCTTTTATTGTTTTATCTTTTGGTTTATTCCTAATTTCAAGAGCTTATGGCTAATTGATGCATTTGCAGTGATGATTCTGCATGCCTCATTTAGGAAGCTTACCCCGTCGAGACAATCAACTTCCAAAGATGGAAACAGGAGGATTCTTAGAAGTTGATAAGTGGTTATTATTGTCAAATCATAAAATCACAGTCGTAGCTCGGAGGGAGTTCAGGGCAAACATGTGGATAAACTGTCTTGGTTCATGAGTACACCTCTCCGTTTGAAACTGAGAGAATACTAGTTACATTGTAAGAAAATGTTTCTTTGTATTCAAATTTAGGTTGTATAAGGTTATACAAGATGGGAAAAAAAAAAAGAAACTAGATAAGATTGTAAATGGCTGTAGAACCATAAAGATAATTAGCATGAACCGCATCCAGTATAAATTCTGGATTCTGATTTTTCATTTCATTCGACCCCCCTCTGGGCTGGCATCATAATTTGTTACCATCCAATAGGGCTGTCTAAGGGGAGGGGAGTATCCGGAACCGGTACCGCTCGGTTGGTCCGATTTAGGCAAAGAGAACGGGGAGTGGGAGGGTACTAAAAAAGTACTGGTAGAACCGTTTCAGTTGGTACCCTTAAGGTACCGAATCAGTACCCTTAAGGTTTTCTTTTTATTTATTTAAATGTTGCCGTTTTTTTGACCGTTAGCATTTTTAAAAATAGTTGTTAGCCAAAAACGGCTAATTTTGCCTCCCTAGCCCCCTCACACCGCCTACCCCTAATTTATGTTTTTAACTGCTAAGTTTGTTAACATGCACTTTCCCATATCATTCTTTCAATTTTTACACAAAACTCTCTTATCTCTCTAATTCTTTCTCTCTCTCTCTATCGCTAAAAGGAGGAGAGTCCCCGTTTTGAAACAAATCCTAATTAGTTCGGGTTTATCCGTTACTTACAAGAAACGTATAATCCTGCTTTTCAAGGTTTTCATAGAACAACTGTTACAAATGATGCTTGCGATGATGAAGGAAATAAAAACTTGCTGAAATATTGGATTAAAGCGGAGACGAGAAACTTTGGTCTTTCAGAATTAATTCAAGAGGACGACAATGCCTATAATGAAATACTATCTACCGGAGACAGTGGGGACACAAAAGAACAAGTATTATCAATTTCAAGCGAAAAACCAATAAATATTATTGAGAAATTCTATAAATGATTCAAAAGAAATATGTAATTTTATTTTTATAAGTATTGATATACAAATAAATACTTATAACTTGTATTAGAAATATAAAATTTACATTGCATTAAATAAATTAAAAGGCACTTCATAGCTTGGAATTTTTTCCATTCCATAATGTTTATGTGTTTTTATATGTAGTAAGTTTTTTATTTTAAAATACCCGTAACTACCCTTATTGTCCCCTTAAATACCCCCAGGATGGGTAGTGGTACTGGTACGGTACCCCTAAAAATCTTCTTAACCCGTACCCTTAATTTCCCTTAATCACAGTCACCTTAAGGAACCCTCCACTTATCGGTACTGCCCCCATACCTCGTCTCCTTAAGTACCCAGAACCCTCCTATAGACAGCCCTACCATCCAAGAAAAAGTGCTTATTAATTGCTATGAGTTGAACACATTTGGGTCCACAAAATTATGGGACCACAAAGTTGTGAGACAAAAAAGAGCCTCACACAAGAGTGGTATTAGGCACAAAATAAAAAAATTCGAATTGAAAGGAGAAGATGACTTGTAAGCTGTCACTCAGCTGAAACTTGGATGAAATGACTATACCCTTCTCGTCTATGGAAGACCTCGTATTCCACAAATTTTATTTTCAATTCTTTGAAAGGTCTCGTTTTCTATCTTTTGCCCTTTTACCAAGGTTATTGACTCGTTAGGATGATCTTTTTCCATATATAGCTGACATGGAATAGTTGGAGATGGCCAATCACTCGAGGGATCTTAAAATTGTTTCGAACTCACAATACGGGTGAAGGTTGAAGACTCCTCCCTCTTGAAACTAAATAATATTCTTATTCAATTGGTTTAGGAATCAAAGTGAGAAGTAAGGTGTAACAATCCGATCGGTCGATTTGAGCTCTAGCGCGCCGTTCAACGTTTGAGGCCTTGAGTAGCTTCACTTCAGGTATTATGACTTGTACGTGTGGTCGAAATTGAATTTCGGGAAGTTCAGAGTTGATTTGGAAAGAAAATTATAATTTCGGAAGCTTTAAGTTGGACGAATTGGCTAAGGTTTGACTTTTGAGTAAACGACCTCGGAATCGGGATTTGAAGGTTCCGATAGGTTCGTATGATGATTTCGAACTTGGGCGTATGTTCGAGTTGAGTATCGGATCACCCGTGAGCATTTCGACGCTTATTATGGAAGGTTGGCAATTTGAAGGTTTAAGAATTTTCTAAGTTTGGTTTGAAGTGAGGCTTTTTTGTTATCGATGTCTGCTTGGGATTCCGAGACTTGGAATGGGTTCGTATTGTGATCTATGACTTATACACAAAGTTTGGCGTTATTCCGGAATGTTTTTAGTATGGTTCGAACGTGTTCGTCGAAGTTTGGAAGTTTAAAGAAAGATTACGGTCGTCGATTCGTAGTTTCGATATTGTTTGGCGTGATTTGAGGCCTCGACTAAGTTCGTAATGTGTTTTGGGATGCGTTGGTATATTTGGATGGGGTTCCGGGAGCCTCGGGTTTGAAACGGATCGAAAACAGATTGAAATTGGGATTTGAAGAAGTACTGGTGCCTTCGCACCTGCGGAAGAATTGGTCGCAGGTGTGGTCACGTAGGAGCAACCAAAAGGGTCGCAGAAGCGGAAGGAGAGTGAGGATGGCTGGCTTTGCAGGCACGAGAAAATCCAGCACCTGCGAGCCCGCAAGTGCGGGCTGTTCGACGCAGAAGCAGAATGGGGGAAGAAGAGGCAGTTCCGCAGAAGCGGAGGATCGGGCGTAGGTGCGCCTTCGCAGGTGAGAAATCCTGCCCGCAGATGCGGAGGTGGAGGGCCTGAAGGGAACCGCAAAAGCGGAGTTTCTTGCCGCACCTGCGGAGCTGCATAAGCGGCTAATGGACCGAAGGTGCGAAGGTCGCTAGGCAGGGAGATGTTTTTAATCCGAGACTTAGCCCATTTCTCTCACATTTTCATTTGGTTGGGCGATGTTTGGAGCTCTTGGAGGGAAGATTTTCATCATCTATGCCAAAGTAAGTGATTCCCACATATTGTGAGTTAATTATATGGATTCTATAAGGATTTAAACATGAAAACTAGTAGAAATTGTGGAATTTTGGTAGAAAACATAAAAATTGGTAATTTTGGATTTTGACCATGATTTTGGAAATGGAATTAGGAACAAATTATATATTTGAATTCGTAATGTTATGGATAATATTTATCTTTGAAAATTTTCGAAATCCGGGCACGTGGGCCCGATGGTTGATTTTATTAACTTTTCGAGCGGAGTTGGAAAGTTTTATAAATTGTTAAAATTGTAAGCATTGGGGTATATTTTGATTGAATTGCATGTTGTTTGACTAGTTTCGGATCGTTTGGGTTGAATTGAAGAGTTAGAGAGGCGTTGGAGCTGGTTTTGGAACTTCGGAGCGAGGTAAGTATCCTGTCTAACCTTGGGAGTGGGAAACTACCCCTAGGTGATATTTATTGTTATGTGTAACTAATTGTGGGCGTTACGTACGCACAAGGTGACGAGAGTCCGTACATAGCTAAAGCATGTTTATGTCCGGGTAGACTTAGGACTTTATCTTGTAATATTTGAATTGTTTGGACTCATTTTTCTAACTTAATTAATTGAAATTTAAACTGAAATTGATTTAGAAACATATAAATATATTAGGTCGAGTCTTATCACCTTGAGTTGTTGGCGAGTTATTTGAGAAACGGTAAAGATTATATTCACTTTGTGCTCATGTACTGTATTGTAAGCACGTGTCTCGTAATTCGAGAATTTCTTTCCTTTCACGAGATTATCTTTCTGCCGATACCTAGCATTTTATATGGTATTCCTTATTCATTGATATTGGCACTTGACATTTCAGAGCCGTCAAGGTAGAATATAAGATTGAGAAATTTATACTTTGAAGTAAATATTTGGAAGATTATGTAACTTACAGATTTAGCCCATTATCGTTGTGCACTGCATATCTGTTATGAATTATTATATTATTTTATTTGACCTCTAGTAAGTGTCGATGTCGACCCCTCGTCACTACTTCTCCAAAGTTAGGCTAGATACTTACTGGATACGCATTGATTTACGTACTCATGCTGCACATCTGCACTAAATGTGCAGGATCTGACAGGTTCATTTGGCGATCATCTTGGTGCGTAGGCGCACCTGTTGAAGGGACTTTATGTGAGCTGCATTCCTGGCTACGCATCGCAGTCTACCGAGTCTCCACCGTACTATTTATTTTATCCTGTCTTATTTATATTCTGGACAGATATTGTATTATTATTGTACTCCTTAGAAAAATGCCCATGCAAGGGGTTATACTAGTTGATGCTTACGGTTTCATATATTAGCATCGCCTTTCATTTCTCTTACAAACTATAAATTTTATACATTCCCACAGATTTAAAAGTGTAAAGTTCCTTTCTTATTAAAACTTATGATTTTGAAGTAATAAAATGAGAAATTAAATAGACCAATCACCGTTGGCTTGCCTGACGGCGACGTTAGGCGCCATCATGACCTATAGTGGATTTTGGGTCGTGACAGCTTGGTATCAGAGCCTTAGGTTCACTTGAGTCTCACGAGTCATGAGCAAGTCTAGTAGAGTCTTGCAGATCGGTACAAAGACGTCTGTACTTATCTTCGAGAGGCTACATGACTGTTAGGAGCACTTCCCTTCTTGATTCCTCATCGTGCAGTTTGATTCTTTTGAGGCTTATGCCTTTATTTCCTTCCTACTCAATCTTATGCGACGTGAAGCGCTTGTTATCAATTGGGCGTCGAGGATTTGTGGTGGTATTGCAGACATGGAGCATGATATTTTCCCTGCATGTTCAGGCGGGCTATTATCGTCACCTTGCGGAAGGATGTTCTATCGTTTCGGCTCATTATCTGTATTTCCTTTGGTTTTCAGGCTATGCACAGGTCGCTATGATGATCATGCGTTGTTGTCACATAATGTTGGTGTAATTGTAGGGTGCTTATTTATGGATCGCAACAGTGAATGACTCGAAAGGAGGATTTCTCAGTGCATGATTTAGAGGTTCATCATTTAATTCCGGCAGAGGAAAGGCAATCAATTTTTGGATGTTCAGGCTTGGGTTGATGGAGTAATGAGACTTGATATTTTTGGGCGTGGTAGAATTCTCAATTGTGATGTGGTGTCGTCGTCCTTGTTGAACGCATTAAGGTTCGCCGGAGTTATGGTCTTCTTTGATTTGCCTTCGGGGCAGGGTGTTGTGAAATGGTGCCGGAG